AAGAAAAGCATTGTAAAATGTTTATTTGTAATTATACTTATTACATCTAAAATATAAGATTAATGAGACAGCAATGGAATTGTGTAGGTACAATGAAATGATACAATGAAAAATATACACGCAAAGCCTTCTACTACAAAATAATAATACAGTACTAAATAGCAGACGTCAAGTCTCTGTAGAAACTTTGAGTTACTGTTTTTACGGTGTATAATAAGTGAGTGTAAAGCGCCACCTGCTGTCTGGAGAACAGCTCCACAGAATGGATCTGACAAGATCAGAAACGTGAGAAATGAGAATAATATTACTGTGGTGATCTCTGACTAAGTATAAACAGGAGTTTACAGCATCAATTTAATTATAAAGGCTGTGTGTTAGTGCAAATCTGAAATGCAGTGGCCATTGAATAGGACAAACAGATTAGATACTGTCGACTCTGAAAATTGATAACAAACTGCAAAAGATAAGAATAAAGAAGAAGCATATTAAAGAAAATACTATGGAAAAAAACACCAAATACTCTCGATGTTTCCCCGTCAGGAGATCACCAGAATCCCCAACGCTGATCTGAAATTATAATGTAAGAAATTATCTATAATATTTATCATAAAATATTTTGTAATGTTTACTTAGATTTATATGAAACTTAACAGTCAAACTATGAGACCCCTCCCCCAAAAAATTAATAAACAGACGTACAGTTATTGAGTCCACTGATGTGACGGCTCCTGATCCTCCTTTAATCTTACAGATGATCTCTTTGGACTCAATCTTCTCCAAAACACACTGATACGACTGATCTCCCTGTAGACCCGTCACATTCACCTCACTCATACTCAAGTTCAGTGCATCTGGCTTTTTCTGAGAAACAGAGATGTGTATGGTGTGGAGGTTGTGAGATTCAAATGCTGATGTGCAAAAACACTGACTGCTCACAATAATATATTTTATGGGAGTTTTTGAGACCAGGGCCTGGAAAAAATAGGCATGCATGCCAAAACATGCAGACTGTGACAGTGATCTTAAACTCACTGTAATACTAAACTCACCTTAATGTTGACCTGTAGGTCATTGGCCACCTGTAAGGTGGTGAATCCAACGAATTCTGGATCAGGCTCGTAGGAAAAATTCTTACAGTCCACAGTGGAGTTCCCAACTTTCAGTAATAAGCTTAACGGTCCACCGCCATCATAACGGGGTGAATGAAACCACACATCCTGAGAAAAGAGAGACAATAAAGATTTGACTTCATTATTATATGAACTATATATATATATTTCAAGACTTTATACACACACACACACACACTTTTTGTATACATGTTTGTGAGTGAGGTATGAATGGCCTATAAACGTAACCCCTTTAAAATAATCAATTACATTTAGTCATTGTTACTGAAGTCACGTAGTGCTTTTAACAATTATATAAGCAGATCAATTAAAAAAATAAAACTCATGCAGTACATGAAATTAATCTGGACCGTTTGAAGACTCACTGAAGTTATACACAGCTGACCTCTTTGTGTCAGATAAAGTGGTGTGAGTTATTGCAGGAGTAATAAACACACGTCTTACCCCTGAGCTTTTGCTGTATTGTGTTTGAAGCACTTTATTGGAGGGACGGAAAAGAGCTGATTCCACAGTGTCCATACTGCTCCCCTGAACATCAATCTTCCTTCCACCACTGAATGAACAATATTAAAATGCGTATTAAAGTATTTATTATAGAGATATTAACCATTTCAGCCAGTAATACAGAATTTTAAGAACAGCCTTGTTGTCATCACGCAGGTTTCCCTCTCTGAACCTCTAAACATTTAAACAAGACTAGTCACATGTAAGGTCACATTTTCACATGTCCTCAGAATGTGCCTGTGAAGTTTCCGCTCAAAATACCACCCAGATTTTTATTATAGCTTGTCAAAGTTGCCCGTTTTTGGGTGTGAGGGAAAACACACGATTTGAACCAGAGTCAGACACAGATGGAGAGACTCAGGAATAGGCTTCGACTCTTATACTGACGTTTCTGAATGGTTAGTGGATATATTTATGTAGTTACTGTGGAGTTTTGACTGTACCGTTTTGTTAATCTAATAACTGTTGAATAGGTGCTTGAGGTGTGTGATTAGGATGATTAGGATGCACACAGAGCCAGAAAATATATGCTGCTTGGATATGAGCAGATATCGTTTAGTTTACAGTTATAATGTCAGACTGCTGCTTCTCACTCAGGGTGGGATCTAGTGCAGATCGTCACTAGTCGTGGACGGATTTTCCCGGAGGAGTAGGGAGACATTTGAAACAGCTTGTTCTAAAGATTGATAATGATGGATGGGGATATACTGGGTTGATTTTTACCTTTATAGGCTGATTGTTTACACACACTGTGGACACATATCTTATTTTGCATAATAGGCCCCCTTTAATGACATTCTTGCATATTTCATGAAATTTATAATGTGCCGATGTCATCTCAAGGCACTGATCTGCCAGTGGTCTGAAAGCTCTTACCTCCTCCAGGAGACTGTGGGCTGTATTCCTGTGCAGCTGGGCTGAGAACTGTAAGTGATGATACTGTTACCATGACAACGATCGTCAGGAGTAACAACACACACTTTCACTGTTCCTTTAGTTCCACTGGGAGGAATGTGGAACCTTAAAGTGTCACTGGAGCGATCAAACACTGGAGATCTGAAGGGAAACATTCATATAACATGCACAGATGTACAGTATCATTTATACCAATACATTCATACTTACAATACATTTATACTACACACATTCATACATGCAACTAAACTCAAACACACAGAATCTCACTCTTTAGAAATACAGTCCAGATCCCCTTGAATATGGATTTTAGTGACAGATTCCAGGTTCCTTCCTCTTAGTAATACGTTGTTTCTGCCATGGAAAGAAACCTTGTTGGGCTCTAGAGAGAGAATCTCTGGCTCCTACAGGACACAAATGTTGGGCTCATTGAAAACATCACAGACAAAGACATGAAAAAAACACTATAATCTAGCACAGTATATAGTAAAAGTTATTGAACATTTTGTTCCGAAATGAAAGTATTTTAAAGAACATTTTACATGCCCTTTGGTGCTTCTGAAAACTAGGCCTAAATCTTCATCATTCAGTATGACACTTACTTTGTAGTCCATGTCAGTGAATAGATCTCTACATGCATCCTAAAGAGCAGAAAAAGAGAGAGAACTCTGAGCGGTTCATTTACTTCCTGACTTCGCTTCAGTCAACACAATTATATTTCTGCTATCAACAATAAAGTAAGTGCAAATAGCCTGCCTTCTTGGCAAAGTCTAGTTATAATAAATCTGGCCACCATTCTCTGGTTGAGCTAGACAAAATTACCCAAAAATATTGTGCTGATAAAAGAAGTAGTGTCGCCTTTTTCTGAACTCATTCTTCTACCTTTTCCCATCGCATGTCAGCTCAAGAGAGGGATTTATTTGAAATAAAAATCAAGAAAATATTAAAAAAGTGTTATTTGTATACTTTTTTATAGTAAACCTGCGTTGCAAATAGTATCTGAGACTATTTGAACTATACGTATAATTAGCATCTAACTATTTACACACTGCTATTTTCTTCATTAATTTCAACTTAATTAACCCTTATGCTGCATTAGGGACATTTTTGGTCTTTTGCAGTTTAATTTCTTTGACCATTTTGGCTGTTTTAATGCAAATGGTATGAAATTTGGCAAAATTGTGACTTTTTGGATGCATGTAAAAAATGTGATCCCATTTTGCAAAATATGTATAACACACACTGTGTAGATCAAATAGTAACACTCAGCACCATAAAGACCAAAAATGGCCCATTGAAACCCATTAAAACGTTGTTTAAATCTGAGGCTGTCAGTAATACATGAAACATGATTTTTGCACAAACATCCTTTCATTTTGAAGCAAAAGCATTATATTTGCATTATATAGTGTATTCCACCAGATGACGTCACTACATATTTATTCCCTATGGGTGGAAATGCACCTTATTTTAGGCAATAGGCAATGTTTAATAGGTGGCCATTTTTGGTCTCTAACGCGCTAAATGGGATTTTTTGCACAGTGGGACTGTGATCATCCAAATCTAAAGTTTTCTCTTTGCATTTAGTTTATTGAAAATAATTGAATTTTTGTGTTTTTTCCTCTTATACAAATCGATGGTTTCGCAAACAAAACTGGTAATTAAAGGGTTAAAATCCTGAAATTGAATACATTTTTGGTAGTTATGATGAGGACTGATGCTGGTTAAAAGATTTAACTTGGTAAAAGTGGAAAATAATAATAATATATAATATTTTAGGCAATGTTTAATATGTGGCCATTTTTGGTCCTTAATGCACTCAACGGTGTTAAAAATCTAATGCAGCACAAGGGTTAATCATCTTAAACTTTTTATGAAGATAATTGTTATTTCACAATTAGCAAATATACTACTGTTTGGTTAAACATGGTCTCACCTGTACGTGTAACTGCGGTCCAGGTCCATGTTTCCAATCACAACGCTGAGAGGAAAAGCCCCACTGACACCCAGATGAGACACACTGCACACACCTGCATTTATTTAATGTTACAATGTGACTGAAATGTGTTAAACACGTTATGGCATTTTGAAGAATGAAAGAATCTCTTTTAAGCGGTGCAGTTCTTACTGTTTATATGAAGGATTTGGTGAATTATTTTTGATATTCAAACAGTTCCTCAGTGTCAGCATCTCTGTGATCTTCTGATCCTTAACAGCAACTATAGCTGTGACATTTAAATCTGAATGGATTACAAAAAAATCTGAATGAGATTTTAAAAATGATCACTTGACTTTCTGGATATAGTCATCACAGGAAGGACTTCTCACATTTATATTTACAGTATGCATTTGCCAGACATTTAAATCCAAAGTGGCTCACATACCAAACAAGATATACTACATTTTATCATCTTAGACTTGTCTCATTTGTTTTGCTTGTATCTTTTCTTTTTTTCTTTTTTTCCCCCTGCTGCTTCAGAGTCAGATGTGTCATGACTTGAGGCTTACCACCATGGTTATGATTGCTAAGAAAGTCAGAGGAAATAACTCTTGGAAATAAGACATTTCTTGTGCGGTTGCCCTGTGGTCATAGAATTTAGGCAGATCTTAATTCCTTCTCTAGAACAGTCAAACATATTACTGAATTCATTTTACAAGTCCCTGAGTTTAAATGCAAAAAAACCCATACAGAAAAATGACTAGAAAAAAATATATGTAAATTACTGTAGTGAAGGCAATTTCGGAATACAGCACATTTTATGTATGTTGTCATCATCAGTTATGTATTGCTGATTTGAGTCTGATGTTGTGTATTTATACTTTCTTGATCTGTTATTTGGAAATCCCTAATAGTGCTAATAGTGTTTTATCCACCTTATTTTAATCTATCAGAAGCGTCTATTTTTAACTTTGAAAGTGCGTGGCTTCTGGTGTCATGCGCTTCCGGTTACTTTAGTTGTACAAAAACAGGCTGTTATACTTGATATTGCAAAATATCTTGATTTTGTTCTTAATTTATTATTGTAATCATTTACTAACTGGTTTGATGAACAAATGGTTTCACCATTTCCTGAACTATGTTACTCTTGCGGTTATTTACCTATAGCAGTTGATGAATCGGAATTCTCTCATTTTCCCAAAAACTTAAATTTTTTATTTAACCCTCAAGTTGTTCCAAACCTGTTTATTTCTTTCTTCTGCTGAACACAGAAGATGATATTTTGAAGATATGGTTAACCAAACAGTTGATGTACTCCATTGACTTCCATAGTATGGAGAAATAAAATACTATGGAAGTCAAGAGGAAATTATTTTTATTTTTGGGTGCACTACCCCTTTAAGTACACATAATGTCATAATTACTAAAAACTAAAAAGTTATGTCATTTCTATTTAATCTTGTATGTCATGTAACTATATAAATATGTTTTTAATTATAGATTTCCAATGATGAGTTTGCAATTTAACACATTTAAAATATATTAACGGATTGAATGTCACTACAGTGATGATGATATTAATGATGCAATATCATATTAGTGATGATGATAGTGATGCAATGATTTAAAACTTTAAAAGTAATTTTTAATTACTTTAAAGTATTTTTTAAATTTGACATTATTTTGAAGTGCACTTTTTTAAGTGTTCTTAACGCTGCAGTCCATAGCTTTTTTTTTTGGGGGGGGGGGGGGTTATCTGCTTTCCTTTGCTCTCGATTGAAAGCGGTAAACTTATAATAATGTTTTAATTCCAGTGGTACTTGTGGATTTCTGTGGGAGATTCGAGCATGTCTTCGCGTCAATACGTTACATCTGTACACATAAAGAAGGAGTCTCGGCTAGTATAACCTATATTGCGTGTGAGGATGTTGGAGGTGGAGATTTATAGCCTTCTCTCACAGCACTTTATATAATTAAACTTATCAATTTGATGGCGGATCCAGAAAAGTTCAAACGACAATCACCAGTGACAACAGATTCACCCGCTGTAAAATGCAAATGACTTTGTTCGGACTTCGGAGTGGCTACAGAAAAATAGAGACTGCAACCGGACCCATGCGAAAACAATGATACATATTGGAAGGACATTACATGTAGTCACGCAATGCTGGGGTGGTTAATTTTTAACAATTTGAGAATAAAGTATAATTTGTACTGTTTTACGTGATATGCTAAGTGATTTTTAGATTTTAGATCAGCGTGATTTACAGCAATGTCAGAACCAGAACAAAAGTGGATGTTTCTTACTAGTTCAGATGGCATTTTCCGGTGAAAATTATTATGTTGGTCATACTTCCAAAAAGAAAAATCTGTGATTCTGAATGCCAGTATCCACACCGACACGGTGCCTGACAGCCTCACACTCTCCTCAAACATTGTGTTCCTCCGCGCTGTGCCGTGTCGAGGGTGTCGAAGTACAACTCACGTAAAGTTGATAATTCCGCGAATGACTCGAACAGAGATGGCGACAAAGAGGAAAAACTGCTGACTGCAGCTTTAAGTGTGGTAAGAGTTTAGTCATGGAAATGTAATCTCGTTAATACATATCTACAAGTACAGTTTTTAAAAATATACTTTTAAAATATGATGTACACGACTACACCAATCCAATGCACTGACAGAGAACCAACCTCCAGTATAAAGTTTGTGGTCAGAAAAACTACAGGAGCAGTTTGGGAAAACTGCAGTCAGATCAGACCCGTCACACAGATTCACACTTCCTGTGGTGAAGGAACATGAGAAGGCGGGATTTCCTGTGCTCTCCAGACTCAAGCCAAGATGTAGCGTAATCTGTGTAGAGGGTATTGATGTGTCACTAGAAATTGCTAATATGTTGTCAAAGCAATGAATAATAGTTATATTTTAGACAAATATAATAATACATTTCTAGAAGATTTGTCATCCCAAGCCTGAAAAGAAACTAGAGGTTCCTGAATTGAGTTTTTTGGGGTGGACATCCATGGAGACTCTGAACATTCGTCCTTGGTGGAGCATCTAGACAAGCAGAAATATATGATTTAAAGTTGATTTGCCAGGTTGCATGATGTTGTCCATGTTAGTAATTTTTTAGCATATATAGGCCTACTTAAAAAATACTTGTGCAACAGATATGAATCTGACCTCTGTGTGTTTAAACACCAGCCACAAAGAGGATCCAGAGCAGCTCTGCAGTCTTTCAGAGAGGTGTGCTTAGCACACTGAACCACAGACACTCTTCTGAGCTACATCAAAACATGAGCAGAAAGCAAGTAAACATCCACTATTGCGTTCCCATTGCTTTTTAAATGAGAAAGAAAAAACCCCAGATATGTAGATTATAGCAGTCAGAAGAAATTTGTTGTGAAACCAGCTCTAGTAAAAACCATTGCAGCAGTGTTAGTTTCTTAATTTAATGTCAGGATAATATAACGTACTGTAGCATATGGTGAAATCCATTACACTTTAATTTTTTTTTTAAATGGTTATATTTACAGTTTTTACAGTATTTACAATAATTGTGTAAATGCACCATCATGAAATCGTGAAAAGGTGTAAAGGTCTATATGTTTCACAAATGTCGAGTATCACTTTTTATTAACTGTACAGTTATAAACCTCACCTCTTTCCTCAGAGCAACATAGATATGTTTGAAATCTACTGGATCAAAGTGCATTCTGGGAAGCACTGCTCGTTCATCATCAGATTTGTACAGCACTATTGGACAGCCTGGTGTGAATTTCTCATCCAACCTAAGCTAAAAATACAAACTGCATTATTATCCAAACTTTACTAAATTCAAATCATTAAATGATTGTGATGCTTTATTCATTTATTCATGTCACTAAGATATTGAGTACCTATTACCATATGATTATTCACAGATTCCACAAAAGTGCTCGAGTTTTTTCAGAAATGCAGAAACTAAGATAAAAACTATAAAACAGATCTAACAGAAACTAAAACAGACTGTTAACATAAAGACACAAAAAGAGTCCGAGTGGAAATATGACAGCATATTATAGGTCATTGCTTATATTAATTCATTTATTTTTCCAAGTTTCTGTGTGTAGGTCCTATTTAATTTTTGTATTAATTTGATAACCCCCCCCCCCCCACACACACACACACACACACACACACACATAGATACCTCATTTGCTTATCTTTTATTCACTTTTACACACTGTTTTCTTTACATTGATTTTATTGCAACTAAATAAAGGTTTCATATATGGGTAGTTGGCATTAAATTTAAAGCACTATTTATAATTGTATAATGATTTCCATTACACGAGAGTAGGTGTTAAAACTGCATGCTGATTTGTACTTGGCTTTCGCCAAGATAAGCAAAAGTAAGACGTAGCTTTACAGTAAACTATGCTTCTCCATCCATTTACGATTCTTTTCATATGATGGTGTGACTCCTCTTCTGTCCGGCGTTAACAGCTGCAGTGTACGTGCGTCAGTACACACTGGATTTTGGGCCCCATGAAAAAATAGGTACTACTGCACCCGTTTCATTAATAAAATCAATCTCTGGGCCCCTAAAAGTGAGTGGACCCTTAGAATCGTCCTAACCCCATGACTCTGGCGTCCCAGAGTCACCCATCTCCGTCCCCCACTCAACTCAGCCCAGCTTACTGACCTCTACATCCCTCCTTCTGCTGAGATTGCCCCTCCTCGTAGTTTACATATGACCTAACCACTAACTCACAACCTCCCCACAATCCAACCATACGCGCCAACCCGTTTGACATAGGCTGTCGAGCCCCACTGTCTTGGTTAAAGTAGGTTCAGTGGCACCGATTCTGTATGACATACTACCTGGCTACCGCAAAACACAATATCTGCTATAAAACACCACCTGTCATTCACGCAATATACGCAGGAATGTAATGACTGTAATTATTACTATGCAACCTATACAAATAAACCAACAGACTCTTCAAGTTTTTCAAGAATTCTACGAAACCGTATCGTGCAACGATTACGGACGATATTAGCAATGGTGTGCAATTGGTGTGAAAAATTATTTAAAGGCTGAAACATATTTACTACATGCGCCTAAGGGTGGGCCGGGGATGGCAAGGGTTGGTGGCAATGTAAGTTTCTTGATATTTTCCGCATGGCGAGGGCTTTGACCTCTCTCTTTTCTGACCATACATGTGTTTGCATCCCTGCATCTGCAGCATCCTCCCATGGCAGTTGAACAATGTGTGCTGATCCAGACCACAAAACAATATCTGGCCGTAGGTTAGTGGTTGCAATCTCAGGTGGAAAAATAAGCCGTTGATAAAATGATTACACATGTTGTTTTATGATGTTATATTAATCACTAGGACTGTTGTTAGAATATATATATAATCTAATTTAAAACAATTCCAAAACACAATAGTCCAGCATACAACTACACTAAATCCCATTTGCATTTGCACTGCCTAAACACTTCGTAAACATAAGTCACAAAAACTCAATTCTTCAATTCCATTATAAATAACATAATAATAATAATAAAAACAATACATACAAAATAGCAATAGATGTACGTCTGTAGCTTATACTGTAGAAGTGTACTGAAAACTTTGAGTGTACTCGCAATTAAAACAGTTGAAAGTGACGGATCTCAGAGTGATAGTTATTTATAAATATGTAATTATTTTTTATGTTCTGTTTTGTGTAATAATACATTAAATATGAGTTTTCCAAATCTAATTCATATTTCTGAAGATAATGTGTGTGTGTGTGTGTGTGTGTGTGTGTGTGTGTGTGTGTGTGTGTGTGTGTGTGTGTGTGTGTGTGTGTGTGTAGTGTGTGTGTTTTATCAAGTTAGATAGATCTAATATTATTTTTGCTCTCAATAGTAAGTTTGGGGAAGAAACTACTTGTGTTTGCAGTAGTTAGGCCCATCATTTTAATGTCATGACCATTTTCAAACCCAGAGTCCATTTTCATGACCACGTGAATAACAAAAATAACACGATAACATAAAACATACTAACACAGCCTTATTCTATCTGGAGGGTTTTTCAGAAATTAGTGAAAAATAAGAAATGAGACAGACCTTTATCAGTTGTCCATCACTGGTTCCTATGAACAACACAGTCGAGGATTCACTTCTAACTGCTGCCACTGATGACATTGAGCTGTACTTGAACACCACAGAGAGCGGCTGAAGGTTACTACCACTCTGCAACACAAAGAACCAAAATATTATTATGACTTTAGTCAATAGTGAAATTAAGTTTTATCATGCAAAACTTTTCTATTAGAATTATCATATATAACTCAATCCATTAAAATTACGGAAAGTTTTAAAATATATGTATATTCAGCACATAAATGCTGATTTTCCAACCTCAGAATCACATTTTTCACCAATAGTGCAGAAACCCTTCACTCGACCTCGAACTCTACTGATGTCGTACAGAGCCAGCGCGGTGTTCTCCGGATCCTGCTGATCCTGCGCACTGAACACACCTGCCCAAATAACACTGTTCCCTGAGGGAATAACGGTGGAGGCGACGAGAACTGGACGAGCTTTATCATCGCAGCACTCTATCGTTGCAGCCTGTAGGGATTTGAAGATCTCTGTCTTTTTTATTTTATTGCTGTCCATCCACAGGACGTGCACTTTACTCTCCGAGCCAGTCTTTGAGTTGAGAAATAAGTACAACGATGAAACTCTCTGGAATCCGTCAACAAACTCCACATCTTCAGCGGTGCTCTGGATTAAGGGGGTTGATCCTTCTTCTATGTTGTTGAAAATCCCACCAATTTGAGACTCTAAAGTGTTCCACAATTTAACAACAGGAGACGGATTACGGTTAGGGTCAGGGTTATTTGTTTGTTCGTCCTTTTTCCCAACCAAAAGGAACCTACCGGTACTTGGACCTGCTATGAACGCTACAGATTTCTCATTCTGTTTCGGTCCTATTGATTCACTTTCATCGTAAATACTCTTTGTAATGTCATTTAAATCAAGAACTTCGCAATATCCTTTACTAAAGGTCCCACATGTTATCAGGGTGTCGTTGTCCTCAAAAGGCACTAGAATGTTGACTCTATTTTGATGAGTGGCATTAGTGATGTCCTTCCTCTTCTCCTCAGATAGATCGAGTCTCATCTGATGTAGTCGATGGTCAGTAAGAACGAACAACTTACTTTTACCAACTACAAAGTCCTTGATGTCTCCATCGAAGTTCACCACATCACTGCAAATGCAATGTTTCAAAAGTGGGACCACAAATATTCCAAGTAAGTATCCTCTCATCTTGCGTATCTGAGATCAGCTGAAGTTTCGAGATCTTGTCACAGAGATCAACTGCGCTCAGATGCGTTCACGGCTAAAAGATGGAAGTGAAAGCAGCGGCTCTGAAGATGCCTGATGACTTCCTGACTTGTTTTGTAAGTTATACCATTTCATGATGAGTCACTTTTCATAATCCTACCTAAAATAAGAGTAAAAGAAACAAGTAAGTATGCTACTCTCTCTTAATCATTTTACTCACAACAGACTTTATATTTATTATAATCTTAAATAACGCATTTTAATATAAATAACTCATAACTTATTTTAAACAACTGAAGAAGCAGTTGGACAGGCCTTCTATCATGAGATCTTATCACAGTGATCATCTGCTCTCAGATGCACCACGAGGGAAGTAAGTAGAAGTGAAAGCAGTGCTGTGAGAGGAGGGTGGGGTGTCCTAAATGGAGAGAAATTGTACCCTACTTTCTGAAACATTTATCTGTTCAAAAAGTTACTTTAGTGGAATGTGAAAAGAAGAAAAAGATCTGCATTCATTTGTATACAATCAAAAAGCAAACAATTAAAAAGTAGAATAGGCCTAAAGGTTTTAGAAATTATCTGATGTAATCAAGAGGAAGGGGATTTTTATCAAGTAAGATTTTTTTTTCCACATAGTTTGTTCAACAACTTGCTTGATAAAAAATTTTTTATTAGTGTCCTGACTTCTATAAGGCTCTGAAAATAAATATGAATCAAATATTTTACAGGACACAAATATCACACACTTCGTAGACGATAGAAAAGCATAGGCCTACATTTGTAGCCTATATGCAGAAATTCTTTGAAAATCATTATTTAACTCATCAGTTCATGCAACACTGTTCAACACAGTTCTGGCATAATAATGATGATTATAAAAATAATAACAAAAACATGCGTAAAAATAATATTAGCCTAGCTGAACTAGGCTGATATTTGCACAATTTTGTACAGTATATGTTATGTTATTGAATGAAAATGTATGAAATATTAAGGCACTATAAAATATTAGCCTACAACTTTATGCACAGCAGCTGTTTGTTAAAAATGTGGAATCTTTAATATACAACATACAGTACATGTGATGATGATACACACAGTAAATAATCATTTTGTTTTACTACGGCAGCTGGTTTAGTCCAAAAAATGCGCAGTTATTTGGCAGTTGGGTCTGTTCGAGTTCGGATCCAGTTCTCACCACAAAAGAACCGCTCCAGAGTTCGTTTGAAAGCGTACCGTCTCGGTACGCTTGTTTGGTCCGCTTTTGGTGCGCACCCGATTGCGGCCTTCACACCTGCCCAAACGAACCGCACCAAGAGGGAAAACAAACTCTGGTGTGATTCAACCGAACTAAATGAGGCAGGTGTGAAAGCACCCTAAGAGGTGGTCTCGGTACGCTTTCAAACTAACTCTGGAGAGGTTTGTTTGTGGTGAGAACATGATCCGATCTCGAACAGACCCAACTGCCAAATAACTGCGCATTTTTGGACTAAACCAGCTGCCGTAGTAAAACGAAATGATTATTTATATAGCGCTCCGTTTAAGCCATGACTGACTTGCCGCATTCTGCACTCTCACAACACTCAACACTGAAGTTGTCTGCACTGCACAGTGAATCTCTTATTTATATACAGTATAATATCACATCTTTGTTCTTTATGAGGGGATTTGCCAAAGGATAAAGCTTGCTGATTCTAAACATACATTGTGAGTGAATTCTCCGCATATCAGCTGGATTTTGCTCCTCTTTGTTTACTTGTTCTGTTGTCATTTTCACGCACGTGAATTCTGATCAATCGAACTACAGTTATGGAAATATGTTCAAGACATATCTGGCCAAAGAGTAATGTTGTCACGTGATTATATTTTGTTTCGTTTCATCAACTCATCAACTGATTCAGACCAGAGCAATAAGTACAGTATGATGTGAAAACGAACCAAAACCCCTGAAAAATGCTACAAAGTATAATTTTTCGCCCTTGGTCCGGACCAAATGAACCGAACTACAGATGTGAAAGCACCCGTGTTCTTACAGACAAGACATATTATATTTTAGTTTAGAGGAACCATGCTGTGTGCTCTGAAAAGTGTGATGGTGACTTGCAAAACTAAGCAACATGACATCATGACTTTTGCGTAAACATATCTCTACGCATTTTGAGCTGTATGCGTGTATGTCTACGCCATTAATGTCCGAGTGATTCCGCGTGTATGTACACGCCGTCAAATGTCCGAGCGAAACGAAGCAAAATGTAAATCTACATCTGGGGAGCAATATTTTTTTTCCAAGGATGGTGAGGGAGACTCATAAATGCTATTAACCCCAGTGACGGGTAGGTTTAGGGATGGGGTTGAGGTAGATCATATATTTATACAGTAATAACGTTAAGTCAACGGCGTTCATAAACACGCTGAAAAGCGATTATGCGTGTTGATAGATCGCCAAAAATGGAAATTCGAATTGGCGTGTCGTACATACGCCTTTTCGTGAACTAAAATAATGTTTCTGTGAGTTCATGTGTGCTTGTTAATTTAAATCAGACCAGACTCTTTTTTTAATGGATTTCATGTTTGGCATGTTTATTAGTAAGTATGAGGTGTAAAAATTGAGTGATAACATAAATTATCCGATTAATAAAAAAATAAAACAGAATAATTTTGTAGGTGTTTGATGAAAAAGATTCAATGAAAGCATTCTTCTACAAAATAAGTACTCAAATACAAAATAACAAACCAGTCCCTGCAGAAACTTTTAATTGATTGTAAGTTTATAGCGCCACTTGCTTTTCAGTCTCAGGATTGCTCTCACAGGATATTTGAACTCAGAGGTTGTTGAATAGTTAAAGCATGACAAAACATAATTTCTTTATTGAAAGCTGAATATTTAAAAATATTAATATGGTTAGTTAATATATATATATATATATATATATATATACATGAAGAATATAAAAGAAAATGCAAACTGCTCAAATGTATAACTCTATAGAAATAAGCACATATAAAAAGTATAGAGCTCTCTAGTCTTAGAAATAGCAAATAATAAATTTAAGCCTTTTTTCAAAAAAAAACTTTTTTTTTTAAAGAATCTTTTCTTTTTCTGTGAGGGTTTTCATTGCTCTTTCATACTTGGTCAGGTGTGTTCTGTGGACTGAGGCAGAACAAATAATTTGTATTCCCCATCCTGAGAACATAATTCCCAATCGTGATCTGAAATGGCAATGAAAAGCAATGTCTTTTAATCTCATGAAGTAAGTCGAGTAATATTTACACTAAACTTAACACAGCAGTGTTAGGAGCAATTATCAAGTCAAATTATGAACTTTCATGTTTATAGATTTACTAAAGAATTGAAAATATCATAAACAGACGTACAGTTATTGAGTCCACTGACGTGACGGCTCCTGATTCTCCTTTAATCTTACAGATGATGGCATTGTACTCAATCTTCTCCAAAACACACTGATACTGCTGATCTCCCTGTCCCGTTACATTCACCTCGCTCATCCTCAAGTTCAATGCATCTGCCTTTTTCTGAGAAATTGAGATCCACAAGATGAATTTGTGTTAACTCAGTGTATAAAGTGTGTGCTTGTGAATAAAGTTCAGATCTTGCTTTGTTTTTTAGCTATTCTTTACCTGAATGTTCACCTGTAGATCATTGGCCACCTTTAAGGTGGTGAATCCAACGAATTCTGGATCAGGCTCGTAAGAAAAAGTCTTACAGTTCACAGTGGAGTTCCCAACTTTCAGTAATAAGCTTAACGGTCCCCTGCCATCATAACGGGGGGAATGAAACCACACATCCTGAGAAAAGAGAGACAATGAAAATATGACTCCAACATGACTTTAATTAAAGATTTTATCCCCTTGATTCTTTGACATATAAGAGTTTTTAAATGTCATACTGAAAGTTTCTGATCTCAAAAATTCACAGCAAAATTAGCGTTTGCTAATTCACCCTTTGACCTCTGTGTGTCAGTCTTACCCCTGAGCTTTTGCTGTATTGTATTTGAAGCACTTTATTAGAGGGACGGAAAAGAGCTGATTCCACAGAGTCCATACTGCTCCCCTGAACATCAATCTTCCTTCCACCACTGAATGAAGAGATATTAAAATAATTTTCAGTCAATAATACATAATAAACAATGTTAAAGTAAAAGTACAGTATTAACATTTTAATTCAAGACCTGCCAAAAACATGAAAACAGTCTGGCTGTTAGGAGGCAGTTTGCACTTATTAAACTAAAGACTAGTATGGTCACACGTGAGTCAGTAAACTTTGTAACGCAAAGTTGAGATGTTGCCCAGAGCGCAAAACAATATGTGGTGTCGGAAGAAAAGAGGAACGAGAGATGGTGTATTTTCCCCGAGTTAAAAAAATAACTTAAACAACACAATGACCCGCATACATGGGGATTGAGTGAGAAAAAGTATAAATAAACATTCAACTCTGGTCACAAATAGAAAGGGAAATAACGGAAAGTGTACTGAAGTCAGTAGAGTGGTTACTTCTTCTCCTGATCACTTGTCACATCTATTAAAGACACACACTCTACGCACATGCGCAGTTCTCACTGTACCTCAAATTACCGTAAATGCACAAAGTGAGCGTTACAAACTGCACGTCTCGGAACAAAGACAAACATGTAGAAAATGACCTGACCTGTCTTGCATATGAGTGTTTTTTTATTTATTTATTTTTTCATCATCAGTAACGTTAACTCTGCAGATCATTACACTGCAAATATTATTTTACCACATTCATTTCAGCATTCTTGCAAATTCCGTGGCTAAAATGGGCGTTAGGACATTAGATTAAGTAATTATAATATGCCGATGTCATCTCAAGGCACTGATGTGATGTGGAAGCTTATCTGCCAGTGGTCTGAAAGCTCTTACCTCCTCCAGGAGACTGTGGGCTGTATTCCTGTGCAGCTGGGCTGAGAACTGTAAGTGATGATACTGTTACCATGACAACGGTCGTCAGGAGTAACAACACACACTTTCACTGTTCCTTTAGTTCCACTGGAAGGAATGTGGAACCTTAAAGTGTCACTGGAGCGATCGAACACTGGAGATCTGAGGGGAAACATTCATATAACATGCACAGATATACAGTATCA